CAGAAAATCCACACTGACATCTCAGGTTGTGTAGGTCAAGGACACATTTTTATGGACTTCTGTGCAGGCCCACAATTTTGCTAGATTCATTTCTAATCCTGTGTCTCTGTGAGTCTGCTTCACATATACAGATTTTTAAATTTTTTGTGATGTCCGTGTGACAGAATGAGATATGGTCACAGGAAAACAAGATGTTATGATTTGAATAGGAAATATCCTTCAGAGGTTTTTTCTGTTTCAAAGGGTTTTTTCCCCCCTCTTGTTGTAGTCGCATGGATAATAGCCGTCCTCAGTTTTGTACTTTTTGTAGGTTTTTTTATTAACCTGAAACATGTCACTCCTATTGATGTATTTTAGGGTGATCTTTAATGTCTCATTTAAGAAATTTAAAAGAAATTTCTCTTTAGACTTCAAGCACGAATTTAATGCAAAATGAAACCTCCAATGAAAGAATTAGTCTCCGATCTAGAATGAATTTTTCCCATACAAAAAAAAAAGAATGATTGAATTTGCACACTGGAGCATCTTTAGGAGTTTGTTGATTTAGCCGGGGTTAGGTTTCACTATACCTAGTAAGTGGAAACTCTGAACACAGAAGTTTTGTTTAAGAGTCCTCACCACTATATGAAGGATTTTCACAGTCCTTTTTCCACTTCATGTAGCATTGCAAAGCACGAAGTAGCACTCATATGCTCTCCTGCTGCTTCATACCACCATGGCTTAAACAACCCTGAAATCGTATTATTTCCAAAATCTTTTGATGACTTCTTAAGAGAATGCAAAATAATCTTTGTTTAAAAGATCAATAATATCCTTTAGGATGTTTCTGGATGCATTTTCAGCTATTGAAGCCAAAGTTAAGCCTCTCTTGGTCTTTGGTACTGACATGTGAGATACACACCTGAAATCTGTGGACTTTGGAAAGGAAGGGAAAGCTAGGTAAGAGCTTTCCTTTCTCTGTTCTATTAGTATGCACTTTTTCTATTAGTATTTAAATTTTATTTGCCTTTTTAATTTAAAAAGCTCAATTAAAGTTCAATTTGCACAAACAAAATTAACATGCTCAACCCTAAAATGCAAAACATAGCCAATTTGTGTGAAAAAACGGACCGATTATAAAATAGTCTTAAAGAGATTATCTGAACAGTACTAAACTTAATCTTTGTTACTGTTAATAGAAAGAGCACTACTAAGAGCATCTCTGCATCAAAAGAAAAAAAAAATTCTCTTGGATTGAAACGCAGGTAGCCACACAGGTACTGCACCAAAATCACAAAACACCTGCCATATCACTTTTAAACCAGGTCAGTCTTGAAGCAGCTTCTTGGATTTTCCTCTTCATCTTCACTTGCATAGAAGAGGGTTAAGTATGTTCTTTGAAAAGATCTTTGGCATGATCTTTGATGACAAATGACATGCTACCATACGCCAAAAAAGAGGGAGAATACAGTCACTCCCAGCTTCAACTTTAACTGGAGCTGCTTTGTTCTGAGTGCCCTGAATAATTAATAACTACTTTGGCAATCAGTCATGCATTCCATAATGGCACCTCAGGCATCAAGTATCCCATTCACTCTCTCCCCAAGTAACAATGGACTTTATTACATCAAGTTTTCTCGGCCAAACTTCTAACTGACATAATTTAAACTAAACAAGTCACTAGGAAGACAGAACTCCAAATATATATTAGAAGAGTTTATGAAGTTTCCCTCCATTGCATGTGGCTACTATATGGATTAGAGCTGTGACTGGGGGCATATGAGAAGAGGAGGAAAGAAAATGAAATATGGATTGTTTTTGCAATAAAGTTCTAGGAGGGTTTAGGTGGTATAGTGTTGCCAAAAACATGACTTTAATAAATGCATAGCTGAACAGTCAAAATGCAGAACAACCGCTAAGCAGCCCTCACTGAATAAAGCAGCTCACCAGTAAGCATAGACTAAGTGACAGGACAGAGCATGAAAAGATTGACTAAGAATAACAGCTGTGCTGAAAGTAGCATAATAATTTTGAAACAACACAAACTACATTTTCTTAGTAAGAATAAGCTTTTTCAACACTTCCTTCCCCTGTATGGTATTCCAGACAAAATTAACTTCAACTATAGAATAGAGGAAAGAAAAGTGGAGTTAGACCAGAATTACAGAAAGTTCTAGATGTACCTGGGGTACACTATTTAAAATGAGATAAATTCCAATAATTAAACTGTAGTTAGCTAGAACCAAAGAAAAGCTTTGAGTTTTTCTCAGGTAGCATTCTGCTTGTATACAGTACATGCACTTCTTTTATGTGATGCCTTATAATCCCATGGTAAACCTTTGCAAAAAATGATGTTGCATCTATTGACATTGGAACTGCTGTGAGTCCCTTCAAGCAACTAAATCTTAGAAGCAAAGTAATTGGATCAATAACTATTTTCCCCTTTCTTATTCATCATGTGAAAAGTTGATTTGAAATATAATATACAAAGTAAAAAACATATATACTATAAATTACAGTAGATTTAAACAAAGTCATTTCTCTTGCTCTTTAAAAGACCTGAAAATGTGTCCGGTGCCCCTCTCTGTGTGTGGCCTCCAAATACAGAAACAAGCTTGTACTGTTTCATTTCAGTTTTGCTTCATTTCTCCCCAAACAATCTCTCATTGCTAGTCTACCAGGCATCTCCCCCTCCCCTTCTTGTCAAAAAATGAAAGAAAAAAAATATTTAACTGTTTAGGACCAATTCATCGAAGTGAAACACTAAGTGAATCCATTATGTTTTTGCAGGAATTATTTAAAATACACACTCATTCCTATAGTTCATATCTTTTTTGTGAGGAGGTGGGAGGGGAGGAAGACTATAAATTTTAGTTTCTCTAGACATGTTGGATGAGATAGCATTATAGTTTTAAAGAAAAACACATTTTTCTTTTGGCATAAGTTTTCAATTGCTTTAGGTACAAGGAGCAGGACTAATCCTGAAACTCAGAAATACAGATTTCATTTACAATCTGCAGTCTGAAATGTGAAATTGTATTTTGCATGGCTTATTAAGACAGAATTTTTGATGCAAAAGATCACAGCCCTTTTAAAGAGAGATGTGGAAATTAAGTTTCACAAACTGGTAAGCAGCTGTTATGCCGCACATTTTGGTGCTAGTTCTGAATTCCTATGACACCAAGGGGGCTGCTCTTGCCTGTTACATATGTGAGAGAGAACATGCTTGGTTTCCAAAACAGTTTGCATGTATATTTCTTATGTTATACGAGCTTTGTTAATTAAGAAAAACAGGAAACTAAAAACGCATCCCATGATGTCAGCTCTGTTTCTGTCTATTGAATAAGCGATGGAAATATTTTGAAGGTTAAAGAATTGTTTTGCAAGTGTTGATGATTTAAATGTTATAACTGGTTTTCCCCATGAAATGTTAAGGAATAAACTCAGTCCATTTGTTCAGCATGGCATAAAGATAACTATACATATACTCTGATATTTTTAGGTGCCTTTGTTTAATCCATTCCACAGAAATTAGATCATACATAAGTTAGACAGATTTGTAGCAGGTAGGATGTAATACTAGAGCTGCAACAACAAAATTTGGCATCCACCCACAAATATATCTACTTAGGGATTTTCTTTTTCCATTTTCTAAAAGTTAACATACTTATTACATTCTGCCCTCAGGTGTACAAAAGTTTAAACCTGGCCATATTTCAAGTTGGTTTGGAGACTGATTGACATTTTATTTAATTTCAAAGTTCACAATTATCAGGTCATACTGTTCTAACAAAAGGGTCTAACTTGTGAAAAAGTCAAATATGCAGATCAAACCTTTAATCACTTTAACAATAGTTCTTAGTTAGGCCTAAATATTTAAAAATACTTAAAGGAAAATAACAGAAAATAACATACATATACATACACAACTACACTTCACTGACATCATCATCAGTATGCTAAACATATTAGGTAGAAGATCATGTATTGTTGAAAAAACACGTGGAACTGTTTTTTGCTTTTTCTTGGTAACAAGTTTTGCAAATGGGGAGAAGAGGTAAAAATGCAACATCAGTAAGCAAGCCAAAGCGCATGTCAGTGGAGTTACAACATGATTCTTTTGATCAATTTTTTATTGAGTTTGCAGATCTTTTCCACCAACAAATACCACAGACCACAAGGCTGCTTAGGAGATTCATAAAGTGAATTATGAGGAACTTAACAAAAGTACTCCTTACTCTCTTTAAATATGGAACATTTATTCTAAAACAAGTCAGCTCCTGTTCTGCTCCACTCTAATGTTTCAGAACATTATCTCATCCTTAAAAAATGTATAAAAATTGTTTTGCTATCATAGATCTTTCATATAGTGAAAAAAGGTAACAGAAATCTGTTGACAGTGAAAATAGCCACATTTTAGATGATAACTATTGTTTAATACCTGCAACTTACAAGTGTTAAGTAACATTCAAGAGAAGTCTCAAGTACAGTTTCCAGAAAAAATGCAGTATTTTGCATTGTCTGCTTTGCCATTATGATAAAACAATTCAGAAGCATAAGAACTTTTCTGGTTTTGAACTAAGCATAGTCATTTGTCTGTGTATGTCTAATAGCAGCTGACTAATAAAAACACTAATTTCTTTAATCTTTGCAACTTCTCATTATCTTTTAACATCACACAGCTGATTCTTATGCTGATTTTTCTTCTCCTCAAAGCAAGAATTTTTTTTTTTTTTCCACAGTACTGTATTAGGAATGCAAACATTTTATTGAAGTTTCCAAACAACCAACCTAGCCCACAACTTCCCAGTCCAAAGCCATCCAAGAACCACCACGAGAACACTCAGTTAGCTAAAAAACAGAAACAAAATGTACAATTCTGGAAGACAGATTGCTCATTATTACTATTATTATTAAGAAATAAACAGTAATTAATCCTAAGCCATTAAAAGATTCTTTTGAGCTACCACTTCAAAGATTTTGTTTTCCTGAAATGTTCCCATCTGAAATATGTTACTTACTGGCATAAGAAGTGTATAATGGATGCAGAATCCAGGTTCAGAAGGAAAATATTCATCAGACACAAATCTTATTCTGATCTGGTTTCCTTTGGAGATTTGTCTGCTTGGCACACTACTGGAACCACACCAGCGCCCTAAAACAGTGCCATCACTAGGCTCTTCAACTTCTACAAAGTCATACCTGAACAGAAAAGAAAATCAAGTGTTTATTTACTGATAAAATTTCTATAAATTTCCTGCTTTAATCAAAAAACTGACTCTGTAGTCAGAGTTGCAATTTCTTCTTTTTCTTTTTTTTTTTAAGATGCTGAAAGTTTGCTACCAAAGCCAGCTATTTTAAACTTAGCTTCCAAGCTGCTACTGGCTTAAATACATAATAAAATCATGCAGTGAGGTTAAAAAAATAGAAGCAGAGTTAGCATTTTGAAAAGACCCATGAGTATGGTTTTCTTTGTTCCTTTTACGGAAAGAAATTACAACATGTGGGATAGGGTAGAATAAAGTCAGAAAAAAAAGACTGCAATTGCCTAAGTGTGGCACTGTAACTCACTCTGCAATATCGCTAGCAGTATACCACACGTCACCAGGGAAAGTTCAGGGGCTTTTTGGTACAGACAACTTGCCCTCTTGTAATACTAGAGGTGAACAAGCTCCCGAAGGTTATGGTGGCTTAGAGAAACTTGCAAACATATTTTGAGTTTATGCATATCCCAATGAGACATTTGTTGAGGAAAGACCTAGACGTACCGCATGTCAGAAAGCGCCTGACATTTTGATAATACTGACAAGAGAGATATAAGTTGGGAGCTTTGAGAGAATGAAACATGTTAAGTTTGATTTGGTTTCATTGGTTTTTAACATGTGGCCTGGGTATCCCTGGGGATCTGTGAAGAACTTCAAATAGGTCCATGAAAAGTACCTAAAAAGCGCCAGACAACTGTCATCGGTAAGATTCAATACGTCACACAAAGGTCCTTGCTTCCACTGGAAAATGTTCAGGGGGTTCCCAAGTCACAAAAACATTGAAAACCACTATTCTAGAAGGTACGTCTGGCTTCAGTGCTTTAACCTGTTTCATGTCAGTCCCCCAGCTGCCCACTGACAGAATAAACACTAAGCATTTCAGCTGGGTTTCCCCTGCTGCAGCTGGAAACCCTCGGAGCCCCAGCAGCAGCACGGCCCGGGGGCTGGGGAAGGCAAGAGTGCGTTGGGTAACGCACAGCGTGCACTTGGGAGTTCACAGCTGCAGCTTTCCGAGTCAGCATGTTACTTCTAAACCACAACTTGTATTCTAAGCACGAGCACAACACACCTCTGAGAAAGATTCAGGATTTCTGATATTTTTACGTTCTCTTACATGTGTAGTCACATCCTAAATGTGTCTCACGTAAATCTAAATTGGTAAATAGCATTGAATCCTTTTCAAGGGTACAAACAGTCCTACCTCTGATAATAACAAATACTCATATATTAAAAAACATGCTCACACACTCTGCCAAATATGCCAAGCAATATATTTAATGTGAAAATTACAACCTCATAAACATTTTCTACTAAAGCTTTTTCTGGATTTTTTTTCAGTAAAGCTAATCTTTATAATGATTCCCAGTTCCCTAGTTAGACAGCAGGCAATAAATTCTTGTGTTGCATGTTTGTGCAAGACTGACTTGCACATTTATTATCTCCATTTAAAGGACCAGTACTTTTTCCACTTAATTAAAAATGAATGCAATGAATATGCTCATTAACTGTGTTCAAAATCCATTACTGCCATGTACCAAAGTTTTAAATCTTTGTTGAACGTATGATACTAATTACTTTATCACCATCTTTTTTTCCCCCCAAACACTAACTAATTCCTTTACGTGATCCACCAGTGTTTTTACTTTATGATCAGGTATACGACTTATTACAAAGGCAATGTATACATTAATTGTATTAAGACTTCAGGGCTCACACATTTATCAAATTGATCTTGATCACTGAATTTTTTCCTTTTTTTTTTTTTTTAAGATCAGCTTATAAAGTTTCTAAGGATAACGTGGTTTGTTTTTTTTTAGTTAAGAATATGAAGCAACTATCCACTTTTCAGATTTCTAAAGAGTGAATAAATTAATCATTACGTTTATTGGCTTAAGATGTTTGGAGGGTCAGGCACAGTATAGGTGTTAGTGCTTCCACATAACTTACAGAGTACTTTCTCTTCCACCTTTTGGTCTCCTGGTACCCCTGAAGCAAAAGAGAAATTCAAATTCCACAGTTTAAATCCTAAACCCTTAAAATAAATGCTAATTAATTCCATTCGTTGAGAGGTAAAATAGAGGGGAAAAAAAGTATTCTGAGAAACCCAAATAAAATTTAGCTTTCTGATATACATGACCAATACATGTAATTCTGTTTGTTGGGGTGTTTCTTCTCTTTTGTTCTTGAAAGAAAATCAAGTTCTTTTGTCCTTGATCTTTGTATGTGGTATTTGTAAATAAGCTGTCATTTTTAATCAAAATAATTTCTGATTTTTTTGTGTGGTATCAATGTTACCTTGATTAAGAGGTTTCTCAATCACCCTTCTCCCAACCTAATACCATTCCAATCATCAGAAATCCACTCGTTTCCAAGTGATCAGTCTGAAAACACTCTATTCATTATGTAGCACTCACCAGTACTGCACTGCAGTGCACAATTACTAATATCACTATTTAAGGGATTTACCAAAACCCATTTTATAAGCCAAGCGCACGTAACTTTCTCATGGCAACACAGTACAGTACATATGGCATGGTTTATAATGATTACTCCCTTTTTGTAATGTCTCCCTCAGGACCTATAGAGAATTTCTTTTCTTTTATGTTCAATAAACAATTCCAATGCTGTAGACAAAAATTTGTTTTCAAGAACAAATATATGAGTATTGGTTTCTTACTGCTGAACAGAGCAGAGCTTCCTGCACAATGTAGATATTTCACCATCAGCAAGGGGAATCTTTAGAAATTCTGCCTACATCAACAGAAAAATGTCCCTCACATGTTTCCTGGACGTAATGACATTTTTAACCAGTAACTTTACTCTTGTCAGTTATCTAGGTCGAACGTGCTGCAAGAGCCTGACAAAAGAATCTTCTGTGCAACTAAAATTACTCTCATCCCACATGGTGACTGAAGCTTGAATGTGCTGTGAAACGTAACAAAACAAAGTGGTTCAGATGCTTTCGCATTTGCAAGAGTCTGCTACGTAACTCTACAGCTTCACGTCACAGGGCTAAAGAGCAGCAGAGCCAATTGCACAGCCATTCAAAATTATTTCCCCATCAAGAGAAGCTTGTACTTCAAATGCAAGGAAAACTAGGCTAAATAACCAAGAACTGAGAAGCTATTTTCCATCTGCAGTGAAGTAAAAAATGTTAAAACGCATGTTGAACCAAAGAATCCTTCTTTCTTGTTCAGTGTACAAAGGAGAAAACACAACCCTCTCTGACAATGACTAAAGAAATGATCTGATGCTGTATCTATCTTCAACACATTATTCAAATATTACTAAGTAAAATTTTTGACAAAAAGGTAGTCCAACCTCCTTTTCCTGGGATGAAAGAGGCTTTTGCCTTTAGTCACAATGCCTTGACTATACCTGTTGCAGAACATGTATTCCTCTTGTCTATGGCCTAGGTGCCTGGGTCCGTTGATTGAATTAACAACCTGAACAAAGACAATTTATTGGAAAAGAGCAAGGAAGCAATCTAAGTGACTCTAAACTTCAATGCCTTTCCAACCAGGAAGCGTATTTTCCAAGGGAATAGGTTTTCCTCTCATGTCTATATTTTTTCTGTGGTTTACACTATTATTTGCTAAACATATTCTGAGAGGCTGTTTACCTTGGCTTGCAGTTCTGTGACCTTTTTGTGGCTTCCCTCTGCCTTCCGAATTCCACAAATACATCAATGAATGTAAGAAGCAAAAACCCACAGGGTAAAACACTTTGTCAGATGAATAATGTTGGATGTCATATGAGTGATGCTGGACCTTTCCATCTCTATATAGATGTGTGCTAGACAAAAATTTAGCACACCCATTAAAACAGCTTGTGAAAGGTGAAGTATCTTTTTCTTTCCCCATTTGATAAAAATCCGTTTCAATTTATTTATTTATTTTTTAAATGAAGAAATGGGAAGTTGATAACAATCCCTGTCATTTTTTTTGACAGTGTCCTGTGGGACACTTAAATATTTCTGTTTCAACTTGTTCTGAAGCACATGGAATTCCAAGGTCTTCCAGGTGCCAGCAACAGCACATCAAAATATCTGCCTCATCTGCAGACCAAAAACATTCAAGATTCCCTGGCAGTTCACCAGACAAACTGTTAATGAATACAACTTAGATGGTTTATATTTGGACAGCTTCAATTTTGGAAACATTGGAAATTAGTAAAAACTGTCACCATTAATGTATGATTTTGATCTTTTTCTAAACAAAATTTTAACACCATCATTCCAAAGGAAAATTTCCTCTCCCTCTTCCATTTCCATTTGAAATAATTTTCATTTTTGCTGCTGAATACTTAAATTTTCTATGGAACAAAATCTTTGGCTTCCATCATGTGACTTACATGTGTATTTGTATAGACAAAACTATAGAGTATTAGAGACACCTCACATGGTCTTCACCTTTTAGATCACTTTTAAATCACAGCTGTAAGTGAAATAATCACAGCTCTTTGTGAAATAAACACTATATTTACATATAGAGGAAAGTAAGGCCAAATGTTTATCTTGAAGACCTTTTTTTCAAAGCTTGTCTGCCTCACTTAAAATAAATTCTGGAGGCCTTCTCCAATCAATCCAGCCCTCCAGTAATGTTCTGATGGGCAGATTCACGTTTATCTGAGTGGAAAAGGGAACACTGGAGCACGACAGAGGTATTCAAATCCATGTTATCCAATGGCCAGTCCCATCTGTTTAACCAGCTTTGCTGTTCCCCACAGGTCAACGCACCATATAGTCTCCAGCAAAAATGCATGACAGGACAAGTGGAATGCAAAGCTTATGATGAAGGGCAGGGGGAAACAGGAGGAATCCCAGAAGGAAGAAGGCAGAAGAGGGAAAAGTGGCATGCTGGATTAGAGAAACAAGCGGACTTCAGGCAAACTACAAGCCTATATATAGATGTAGCAACAGTCTCAAGAGTGTACTGC